TGATTGATAGTAAGGTCAATATTTAAGAAATAGGAAATGAGTGCCATGCTGTGTGCAGTTCTAAAGAACGTGGACGTTGTCAGAACCCGAGAGAAGTGTTAGGAGAAGCTCGACACTTCTCGAGTGTTCTGCCAATCCCCAAGTGCTTCAATAACTCCACACAGCACAGCAAGTTTTTTTTCTTTTATAAAATACCAATTACATGAATGACGAAACTGAAAGCATGCTGTGTACTCTCATAAAGCATGTGCTCCCAACCAACCAGAACGTGAGATTTGTAGAATAGTTATTTTATAATGTTATATAAACACTGGGAGGTGTAGAACACTCAAAAAGTGAGGTCCTTTTTTAAAATCATCAAAAGATGAAATAGTTTTCTCAATAAAGATTATTACTATTAAAGTAAGAAAAACACTCAGCCGGAACTTGTGTTCCAAAAATTGTTTCTCTCTTAATTGTGCTACAGCTAGTGCTCCCAGTGTATTTATATATAACACAGTTCATAGACATGCGTGCATTTTATGCAGTCCTTAATCGTGCATTATAAAGATGACTTGACCAATAAAAAGCAAGCAAAAAGCAAATCAAACATCTATGATAAAATGTGTTACTAACCTGGTTTATTACTGTCTCCTATGAATAGAGGTTTTCTAGAAAAAGGTCTACTACACAATGTGTCTTTAGAACCATTGCATTTCCGCGCCACAACTTCCCCTTCTTCACAATGTGAGCACTTTTCACACTGATATGGACTCTTTACAAAGGTCCCCTAGAAATGAAGGCAGTTTTATAAAAAGTAAATTCTTGCTTAACATGCTGCCTATTATAGAAAAATAAAGCTGCTGTGCACACTCTTATGTAATGATAATGACTGCACCATTATTTGAGCCCAAAATGACCTTCAGAATTTTATTGAGGAACCATACACATTTAATTTAAACTTCAACAGGGCAGAAACCCTTAATTTTTCCAGGGCACTCTACGATTGCTTTTTTTTTTTTTTTTTTTTTTTAATTTCTGAAAGGGTGCATTAAAAAGAAACTTTTAACAATTAATTCTGAAATAAATGACATGGGTTTTACTCATAGAAAAAAAAGAAGCACATTTCATCATTTATAACTATATATAATGAGACCCAGAAAAATTTACCATGGCATCAATGAAATCGATCTAATAGTCATTGGCAGCCACCATAATGTTTTTTTGCTTTGGCCTCATCGAATGAAAAGTCAAGCTAATGAAAACATGCCATGCAACATGCCCACTGCTTGCCTAGTTAATAATTAGGTGGTTTTATTTGGGATAGCTTCATGAAATGAGAGGGAGAACCATCCACATGGTGATAAACTGTTTTACACTTACCAAAGGGCAATTGCTGCATTTTCTGTTGTGGACATGAGTGCAGTTTTGTGACACTATTTCTGTTGTGCCACATGACTTGCACAACTGACAAAGTGCCAAATTTCCATCCCAGTATTTATTGGATGGGCATTGGCAGATAAATTTATTTGTTTGGTTGCATTTTGCAATCATAATTTGTCCACTACGGCATTCTGGTAAGCATCTTTCACAAACATTGATATGATATGATGGATAAGTACCAATTGGACAGTCAGATAAAACATGATAAATAGGCAACTGCAAAAACAAGAATTTTTTTTGTTAATAATAGAACTAGATGGGAGATGCAAAATAAAGACTAAATAAAGGTTTTATTATTTGAAGACAGCTTGGTCACCCAGATGAGTATATAATGGTAAATAACATGACGCTCTTGGAGCGTGCACTGGGTTGCCCAATATGCTGGTATGCTGGAACTTATTTAAAACCTAATGTTACTTTGGAACCAGCTCTGCTTTGGAACATTTTAGGTGTATTTTTCTTTCAGACCTTCCGATTACTTATTTTTTCTCACATCAAATTTGTTCAAATGTGTAGCCTTTTTAAATGTGTTTTTTTAATGAAAATGTACTGCTCTTGTATATTTTTTAACCAGTGCATAAAGCAGTATGAGATTAGAAGACTATACAGACGTGGTTTTGTACTGACTGGAGAGAACAGCATTGCGTTACTCACATCACTAAGTTTTAATAGGCTCAATCATCTTAAATTACGTACACTGACAGCAATTTGACCCTGTCTGACGAAATACTTATAGTTATTTCATAACTGAGCATGTCATATAACGACATAAATTTGTTTAGAAAATATGCTTAAATGATTATTTGTTATTCGCTAATTTCTGAAGTTCTCAATCTCTCCTTCATTGATTATATTCTTCAAATATTGTCTTTTAAATATCCAAACTAGGGAATTAGTGGATCTGTGAAACTCGGCTAGTAAAAGGATACTAAGCGAAAAGTATAGTACGGCCAAAGTTACTAGCTCTATTACCTTGTAGTATTTAACGATACATTCATGTATATGCCTTATAAACTAAAAACTGAAAGCTGTATTTTCATTTAGGCTCTACTAACCCAAGCAATTGAAGCCAGAATACTGCCGACTGAGTAGCTGTATTAATACTAATGAATAGCTGAATTACAATCCTAGAATCTTCTTTTACTGCTCAATTATATTACTTCTAAAGTCCAGAATTACATCCTCATCTGCTGAGCCAATCTATCAGCCATTTATCTATGAACATGTCATTTAAATTCATATATGGGTACACTTGTACGAGAATGCAACATTCCTGAGAAGGTGACTACAAAAAAAAGGAAGGCATTTTACAACTGGGCTGCCATAGGCAACCCAGTAAAAACTTCAAGATGAAAAGGTAATTCTGGTAAAGAGAAAGAATTGTTAATTTCGCTTCTTACAGTGCTTCCCAATCACACGTGTGAAATTGTATGATTTTGGTGAACATCAATCAAAGTGTTTCCATGACATTGTAAAGAAAATAGAAAGTTTTCAAGAGCAAAATGCTTATGGAATGTTGTGGCAACGCCTTGATTGATATCTACCAAAACCAGCAAATAGTATGATTTCAAACATGTGATTGGGAAGCAATGTAAAATACTAGAGAGCAGTAGCTGACTACCAGAATACAAATATTTTAGCCATAAGTTAATACCATTAACCCATGGCCAGGAACCCTAGAAAGTCATTAGAGCTAACCTTTTGAGGCCTGTATGTTATGATCAAGGCAGTTAAAATAATCAATTAGATAAAAAATCATAAGGAAATTCATGAGAATTGAGGACAAAGCTAAAATGCCATTTTGCAGTCAGCTTTGCCTTAAAATCGGCCTGATGCGTAATAGAGAGTTTTGCTAGCTGTATATATAAGCATGTCAGCTAGCTTGATCAAGCTTTCAAAATAGTTCGTAGGCGTGATATATCATATGAACTAATTTGAAATTCCGAATCGTTCACCTAGTTCATAATCTGATAAAAATAATAAAATGAACTTGAAATCATAGATATAATTCATTGTTAAAATTGCTAAATGATTTAGGCTTAGTTGATATAGCTACTTAACTTATAAGTTAAGCTTAACTATAATTTTACGTAGCTATTTTACTGTAGTTGAATAAAATAATCTGTAAAGAACTATTAAAGATGACTAGGAAATCGATTGAAACCAAGGAAACACAAGGACTACCCAAAAGACGTGCTGAGACGGCTTCATTCATCAGCCGTAAAGAGTAAACTTATTTTTAGTTCTTTCATGGGAGTCAATCAAATCTCGTGAATATTGGTGGTAGTCATAAGTGTGTAGCTAATTGTAGCATGAACATTTTTTCGAGAAATTAGTGGAAAACCTAAATACTTACCAAAATAAACAACAACCCAAGAAATACCATTCTTTTCCACATTTAACTCCTTTATGTACTTCCTTATAAAACATAGGTTTTCTTCGATTTTCTTCGATTTTCTAAAAGAATTCTAAATGGCGGACACATATGACGTCGTCATGAAAATTATAAAGAGCTTTTGATTGATTGGTTGTTGTTTAATTCAACCAATCAGAATTTTGTTTAAATCAATGTATTTTAACAGGCTCAGACTTGTTTTATCTTTTGCCCAAGGGAGCACGCAAATGCGCGCACGCGCACGATTTTGAACAGTTGGGTTTCCTGTGGTGATGGCGTAATTTGACACAGGAAGACCGTTATAGCAAGGGAGCACGGCAAACAAAAATTTGTTGATTGGTCTTCCTGTGGTAATGACG